GGGCTAAGTGTGTCTGGTTTGCTTTCCCCCAGGTCGCAGAGAAGAAAGAGGAGGAGTGGTGAGGACCTGCGAGTCAAGAGTGTGGAGGAAGAGAGAAGAGGAGGAAGAGGGAAGAGGAGGAAAGAGAAAGGCACTCTCTGGAAGCAGGGCTGCGGTCACGTAAGAGCATCACTGGCAATGGCAGGGTGGTATTGTTGTTACTTTGGGGGAGGTACTTGCTGAATACTCTCAACCTGTGCACGGAGGAGGCAGCAGGAGGACCTCAGTCTGTGGAGGAGCAGTTTCCTCTTGTCCTTGAGCAGCTTTTGCATCTGCCCTTTTCCCAGTTACTCAGTAAAATGCTTTGTCAAACTGTAGGTTGCACATGGGCCCCTTTCACACCCAACTCTGCTTTAGCTCATGCCAGGAAGATTGCACTGCACAGGCGGTCTTAGCTTTGCCCCACCTGTTGGAGTTTTTGTTGTTGTGAAGGTAGTGTGTGTTTGTTCTCAGCGGCAGGAAGGGGGATGTCTAGGACTGTGCCGCAGCTTCCAGGTAAGAGTGCGGTTGTCGTGGAGGTTTAGTGGTAGGAGTGCGGTGGTGCTGCAGCGTTGTCGTGGAGGTTTAGTGGTAGGAGAGCGGTGTTGCTGCAGGGTTGTCGTGGAGGTTTTGTGGTAGGAGAGCGGTGGTGCTGCAGGGTTGTCGTGGAGGTTTTGTGGTAGGAGTGCGGTGGTGCTGCAGGGTTGTCGTGGAGGTTTTGTGGTAGGAGTGTGGTGGTGCTGCGGTGCTGTAGGAGGATTTATTTGGGCTGTTTGGTGCAGAGTAGGGGGCAGAGGTGAGGTTGCCTGTGCAGTGCAATTGGACGGGGGCTGGAGTTGAGCTGAGGTGGGTTTTGAAAGCAGCCTGGCCCCCAGCCCTCCCTGGCGGCCTCAGCCCTGTCCTTGTGCCTCGCGGGGCTGAGGAGGGACCTGCCTATCCCAAGCGGTGCCAGCGCTCCAGCGCCAGCTTGCGCCTCTGCCAGCTTGCACCTCTCTGCCTTCAGGAGCCAGCGTGAGAGTTGCAGAAAGTGGAGCGAAAGCTTCTGTTAAACAGCTCATGCGCTCCTCCCTGCCCAGAGTCGCCCGGGGTAGAAGTCCCACTTTGTTTTTTTCCCCCAAATTCAACACAAAGGTCCTTTCAAGAGAAGGTATTGTAAAGTACCAGCCTAAAATACCTTATTGTTATTGTGCTATGTTAATGTGATTAAAGTTGAGGACGACTCTGGAGCTTGTCTGAGCTAAGCCCCCCCAAATGCTACACACCTCTAAACGCTGTGGTGAAACAGCTGCCTTTGGAGGACCCTGGAGGGTTTTATGGCAACACCTCAACTCCTGCTGTCGTTCAATAGATTAAAGCCTTTACCTTCAAGAAGTCTCTGTCCTGTCTGCTTCAACGAGAAGAAACGAAATAAGGCTGTATGTTCACTGTTCTGTCTGTGCCTATAGCAGGAAAAATGAAATAAAATGCTATTTTCACTGCCCAGTGTGTGTCTATAGTGGGAGGAAAAAAACCTAAAATGTGTTTTTTCATTGTCCTGTATGTGTGTAAAGCGGGGGGGGGGGGGGGGGAAAAAAGCAACCTTTAAGAATCTTGTTTTCTCTGTCCTGTTTGTGGGTGAAGCATTTAAAAAAAGAAAGAAAGAAAGAAGACATGTTTTTTCATGGTCCTCTCAGTAACGCGCAAACAAAGAAATAAGGTTGTTTTCATTGTCCACTGTGTGTGTAAAGCAAGAGAAAAAAGAATAGTGAGAACATCAACCATCTTTTGGGCTAGAGCAGAAAAAAGACATAGTGTTTCCTCTATCCTCTTGATGTGTAAAGTGGGGGGGGAAAAAAGAATGTTTTTTTCACTGTCCTGTATAAACCAGGAGAAAACAAAAGATCCAAAGTCGTGTTTTCACTGTCTGGTTTGTGGGTAAAGCAGGAGGAAAAAAAAAAAAAGAAAAAAGGTGTTTTCACGGTTGTGACTGTGCATAAAGTGGGGAGGTGAAAAAAGAAAAATAGTGATGCTTTCACTGTCTGCTCTGTGCCTATAGCAGGAAAAAATGAAATAAAATGCTATTTTCACTGCCCAGTGTGTCGATAGCAGAAAAAAAACCTAAAATGTGTTTTTTCACTGTCCTGTATGTGTGCAAAGCAGGGGTGGAAAAAAGAAAAAGAAATTAAAGGGTGGTGCTTTCACTGTCCTATTTGTGTATAAAGCAGAAGGAAAAAGAAAAGAAATTAATTGATTATTTTCCCCTGTCCTGTTTGTGGGTGAAGCGTTTAAAAAAAAAAAAAAGTAAAATAAAGCACACAGACATAAAATGTGTTTTTCATGGTCGTCTTTCTCAGTAATGTGGGAAGAAAGCAATAATGGTGTTTTCGTTGTCCGCTCTGTGTGTAAACCAGGAGACAAACCAAACTTTGAAATTGATGTTTTGACTATTGTCTTTTGGGCCTAGAGCAGAAAAAAACCATTAAAATAGTGTTTCATCTATCCTATTTGGGTGTAAAAGGGGGGGGGGAGACAAAAAGAAATAGAATGGTTTTTCACTGTCCTGTGTTCTATAAACCAGAAAAAAGAAACCCTAAAGTGGTGTTTTCACTGTCCTGTGTTGTAGAAACCAGGAGGGGGAAAAAAAAAAAAAAAAAGAGAGATCTAAAAGGGTGTTTTAACTTTCCTCTGGGTGGGTAAAGCAGGAGGAGGGGGAAAAAAAAAGGAAAAGAAATTGTGTTTTCTGTGTGCTATCTGTGTACAAAGTGGGGGGGAAAGAAAAGAAAGGGTGGTGCTTTCACTGTCTGGTCTGTGCTTATAGCAGAAAAAATGAAATGAAATGGTGCTTTCACTGTCCGGAAAGCATTCCACTGTTTTCTGGTTTATACAGTAGAATGTAGACAGAAATAAGGTTGCTTTCGGTGTCCAGTGCATGCGTAAACAAAGAAAAAAGTGTTTTTTTTCCTGGTCGGTGTGTGTGTAAAGCAGGGTTAAGAAAAGAGTGCTTTCAGTGTCTTTTCTGTGTGTAAAGCAGAAAACAAAATAAAGTTGCTTTACAGATGCTCTGGACAGTGAAAACAAACAAAAAAAAACACCCACACCCTCACGTTTTTCACTGTCCTGTATAAGCATGTAAAGCAAGAAGAAAAAAAAGAAGAAACAGGTTGGGTTTTCACTATTGTGTTAGTGGGTAAAGCAGGAAAAAAAAAAAGACATAAAACGGTGTTTTGTTTTGTGGCAACCAGAAATAAAGAAATAAGGTTGTTTCCTGTATGGTATATGCGTAAACCATTAAAAAAAGAATGTTTTCACTGTCCTGTTTCTGCTTAAAGCAGGGGAAGGGGAAAAAAAAACCCCACCCCATGCAGTTGCTGTTTTCACTCTTGTCCTCTGGCAGGCCTGAAGCAGAGAAAAGAACTAAAATGGTGTTTTCAGTGTCTTGTTTGTGGATAAAGCAGAACAAAAGAAATAGTGAAAATAACCTTATCTGGTGGGTGTGTAAATCAGAACAAAAAAAGTATAAAATTGTGTTTTACTATCCTATTTTTGCTTAAAGAACAAAGAAACGAAAAAAATAACCCTGAAGTGCATGTTTTCACTCTTGTCTTTAGGTCTAAAGTAGAAAAAATAAAATAGTGGTTTCCATGTCCTTTTTGTGTGTAAAGTGGAAGAAAAAAATGTTTTCACTGTCTGTGTGTAAACTAGAAAAGAAAAGGAAATAAAATGGAGTTTTAGTTCTTCTTTTCAAGTTTACACAATATAGGACAATTAAACTTGTGTTTTTGCAATCCTGCTTCTGGGTAAAGCAGAAAGGAAAAAAAGCAATTAAATGGTGTTTTGGCTGTCGTGTTTGCGTGTGAAACAGGAAAAAAAAGAAAGGATCCTTTCACTATCCTGTTTAGTATAAACCAGAAACCGAAAGAAAAGAAAACAGTGTTGTCACTCTGCTGTTTCTGTGTAAAGCAGAAAAAAAGCTAAAAGGTGTTTTCACTGTCCTCTTCGTGCGTGAAGCTGACAGAAACGCAGTAAGTTGCGTGTTGAGAGTCCTGGGCTTAAAGCGATGTAATAAAAAAATTGTTCACCTGCTTAAGTGGTGAAACACTCT